TAAGCTGTGGGTTGTTTGTTTGGTTGGTAACTGTGTGAAGCTTGTGATAAGCTAGGAGTTGTTTGGTTGGTAACTGTATGAAGCTTGTGATAAGCTAGGAGTTGTTTGGTTGGTAACTGTATGAAGCTTGTGATAAGCTAGGAGTTGTTTGGTTGGTAACTGTGTGAAGCTTGTGATAAGCTAGGAGTTGTTTGGTTGGTAACTGTGTGAAGCTTGTGATAAGCTAGGAGTTGTTTGGTTGGTAACTGTATGAAGCTTGTGATAAGCTGTGGGTTGTTTGTTTGGTTGGTAACTGTGTGAAGCTTGTGATAAGCTAGGAGTTGTTTGGTTGGTAACTGTGTGAAGCTTGTGATAAGCTAGGAGTTGTTTGGTTGGTAACTGTATGAAGCTTGTGATAAGCTGTGGGTTGTTTGTTTGGTTGGTAACTGTATGAAGCTTGTGATAAGCTGTGGGTTGTTGGTTTGGTTGGTAACTGTATGAAGCTTGTGATAAGCTGTGGGTTGTTGGTTTGATTGGTAACTGTATGAAGCTTGTGATAAGCTAGGAGTTGTTTGGTTGGTAACTGTATGAAGCTTGTGATAAGCTAGGAGTTGTTTGGTTTGTAACTGTATGAAGCTTGTGATAAGCTAGGAGTTGTTTGGTTGGTAACTGTATGAAGCTTGTGATAAGCTAGGAGTTGTTTGGTTTGTAACTGTGTGAAGCTTGTGATAAGCTAGGAGTTGTTTGGTTGGTAACTGTGTGAAGCTTGTGATAAGCTGTGGGTTGTTGGTTTGATTGGTAACTGTGTGAAGCTTGTGATAAGCTAGGAGTTGTTTGGTTGGTTGGTAACTGTATGAAGCTTGTGATAAGCTAGGAGTTGTTTGGTTGGTAACTGTGTGAAGCTTGTGATAAGCTAGGAGTTGTTTGGTTGGTAACTGTGTGAAGCTTGTGATAAGCTAGGAGTTGTTTGGTTGGTAACTGTATGAAGCTTGTGATAAGCTAGGAGTTGTTTGGTTGGTAACTGTGTGAAGCTTGTGATAAGCTAGTTGTTTGGTTGGTAACTGTGTGAAGCTTGTGATAAGCTAGGAGTTGTTTGGTTGGTAACTGTATGAAGCTTGTGATAAGCTAGGAGTTGTTTGGTTGGTAACTGAATGAAGCTTGTGATAAGCTGTGGGTTGTTTGTTTGGTTGGTAACTGTGTGAAGCTTGTGATAAGCTAGGAGTTGTTTGGTTGGTAACTGTGTGAAGCTTGTGATAAGCTAGGAGTTGTTTGGTTGGTAACTGTATGAAGCTTGTGATAAGCTGTGGGTTGTTGGTTTGGTTGGTAACTGTATGAAGCTTGTGATAAGCTGTGGGTTGTTTGTTTGGTTGGTAACTGTGTGAAGCTTGTGATAAGCTGTGGGTTGTTAGTAACTGTATGAAGCTTGTGATAAGCTGTGGGTTGTTGGTTTGGTTGGTAACTGTATGAAGCTTGTGATAAGCTGTGGGTTGTTTGTTTGGTTGGTAACTGTGTGAAGCTTGTGATAAGCTGTGGGTTGTTAGTAACTGTATGAAGCTTGTGATAAGCTGTGGGTTGTTGGTTTGGTTGGTAACTGTATGAAGCTTGTGATAAGCTGTGGGTTGTTGGTTTGGTTGGTAACTGTGTGAAGCTTGTGATAAGCTGTGGGTTGTTAGTAACTGTATGAAGCTTGTGATAAGCTGTGGGTTGTTGGTTTGGTTGGTAACTGTATGAAGCTTGTGATAAGCTGTGGGTTGTTGGTTTGATTGGTAACTGAAGCTTGTGATAAGCTGTGGGTTGTTTGATTGGTAACTGAAGCTTGTGATAAGCTGTGGGTTGTTTGTTTGGTTGGTAACTGAAGCTTGTGATAAGCTGTGGGTTGTTGGTTTGATTGGTAACTGAAGCTTGTGATAAGCTGTGGGTTGTTGGTTTGATTGGTAACTGAAGCTTGTGATAAGCTGTGGGTTGTTGGTTTGGTTGGTAACTGTATGAAGCTTGTGATAAGCTGTGGGTTGTTGGTTTGATTGGTAACTGTATGAAGCTTGTGATAAGCTAGGAGTTGTTTGGTTGGTAACTGTATGAAGCTTGTGATAAGCTAGGAGTTGTTTGGTTTGTAACTGTATGAAGCTTGTGATAAGCTAGGAGTTGTTTGGTTGGTAACTGTATGAAGCTTGTGATAAGCTAGGAGTTGTTTGGTTTGTAACTGTGTGAAGCTTGTGATAAGCTAGGAGTTGTTTGGTTGGTAACTGTGTGAAGCTTGTGATAAGCTGTGGGTTGTTGGTTTGATTGGTAACTGTGTGAAGCTTGTGATAAGCTAGGAGTTGTTTGGTTGGTAACTGTATGAAGCTTGTGATAAGCTAGGAGTTGTTTGGTTGGTAACTGTGTGAAGCTTGTGATAAGCTAGGAGTTGTTTGGTTGGTAACTGTGTGAAGCTTGTGATAAGCTAGGAGTTGTTTGGTTGGTAACTGTATGAAGCTTGTGATAAGCTAGGAGTTGTTTGGTTGGTAACTGTGTGAAGCTTGTGATAAGCTAGTTGTTTGGTTGGTAACTGTGTGAAGCTTGTGATAAGCTAGGAGTTGTTTGGTTGGTAACTGTATGAAGCTTGTGATAAGCTAGGAGTTGTTTGGTTGGTAACTGAATGAAGCTTGTGATAAGCTGTGGGTTGTTTGTTTGGTTGGTAACTGTGTGAAGCTTGTGATAAGCTAGGAGTTGTTTGGTTGGTAACTGTGTGAAGCTTGTGATAAGCTAGGAGTTGTTTGGTTGGTAACTGTATGAAGCTTGTGATAAGCTGTGGGTTGTTGGTTTGGTTGGTAACTGTATGAAGCTTGTGATAAGCTGTGGGTTGTTTGTTTGGTTGGTAACTGTGTGAAGCTTGTGATAAGCTGTGGGTTGTTAGTAACTGTATGAAGCTTGTGATAAGCTGTGGGTTGTTGGTTTGGTTGGTAACTGTATGAAGCTTGTGATAAGCTGTGGGTTGTTTGTTTGGTTGGTAACTGTGTGAAGCTTGTGATAAGCTGTGGGTTGTTAGTAACTGTATGAAGCTTGTGATAAGCTGTGGGTTGTTGGTTTGGTTGGTAACTGTATGAAGCTTGTGATAAGCTGTGGGTTGTTGGTTTGGTTGGTAACTGTGTGAAGCTTGTGATAAGCTGTGGGTTGTTAGTAACTGTATGAAGCTTGTGATAAGCTGTGGGTTGTTGGTTTGGTTGGTAACTGTATGAAGCTTGTGATAAGCTGTGGGTTGTTGGTTTGATTGGTAACTGAAGCTTGTGATAAGCTGTGGGTTGTTTGATTGGTAACTGAAGCTTGTGATAAGCTGTGGGTTGTTTGTTTGGTTGGTAACTGAAGCTTGTGATAAGCTGTGGGTTGTTGGTTTGATTGGTAACTGAAGCTTGTGATAAGCTGTGGGTTGTTGGTTTGATTGGTAACTGAAGCTTGTGATAAGCTGTGGGTTGTTGGTTTGATTGGTAACTGAAGCTTGTGATAAGCTGTGGGTTGTTGGTTTGATTGGTAACTGAAGCTTGTGATAAGCTGTGGGTTGTTGGTTTGATTGGTAACTGAAGCTTGTGATAAGCTGTGGGTTGTTGGTTTGATTGGTAACTGAAGCTTGTGATAAGCTGTGGGTTGTTGGTTTGATTGGTAACTGAAGCTTGTGATAAGCTGTGGGTTGTTGGTTTGATTGGTAACTGAAGCTTGTGATAAGCTGTGGGTTGTTGGTTTGATTGGTAACTGAAGCTTGTGATAAGCTGTGGGTTGTTGGTTTGATTGGTAACTGAAGCTTGTGATAAGCTGTGGGTTGTTGGTTTGGTTGGTAACTGTGTGAAGCTTGTGATAAGCTGTGGGTTGTTGGTTTGGTTGGTAACTGTGAAGCTTTTGAATGGTTGGTAACTATGTGAAGCTTGTGATGAGCTATAAGATGTTGGCTATGTTGGTAACTGTATGAAGATCGTTGTTGATTTGGTTCATACAAGATCAGTTCTGTTGCACATGAACAGCTTTCAGGTTTTCAGCAATGTGTTCACATAAAGGTTTTCGTCTCCATACATTTTATTAGTTTTATCTGATGTCTCATTGTGTGTATACTAGAATCACACATGCTGTATGTATTTTTTTTTTCTTTTTCTTTTCTGCTACTGAGGCTGCCTCTTCCCTTTTCCTACCCCTTTCTTCTTTTTCTTTTTCGAATTCTCCTTTTTTTCCTTCTTCTTTCTTATACTTCTTCTTCTTTTGATCCTCCGTCCTACTCTTTCCCTTCATCCTTTTTCATTCTCATACACTTCTCCTTGTCCTTCTTATTTTGTATACTACTCCTTCTTCTACTCCTACAGCTGGTTAATAAATGGAGCATAGGCTCTCATGTCAAGCCCTCTAGTCTTTTCTGGTAAATATCAGAATCACAGGGAACATTAACCGGATCCTTCTTTGTCTTGTAGATGTGACAATTGGTGCACATTTGAAATCAGGGTTAGGTGTGTCAGCAAGTCATCCCCTGATAATTTCAAGCTACAGAATAAACACGTTTTCAGAGAAATATATAGTTCTTTGATTAAACATAAATAACGTATATATAAAGCCCTATCTGAATACATTAACTGTATCCAGTCATGCATAGTTTGTCACTTGGTACAGAGAAATTAGGTTTTTCTGCTAATGGGCACTAACTCGCCTGGGAGGAGATTGACACCAGCCAAGTCAGATTTGTTATTGCCACACCTTGTGACAGGCCTAACAAGACGGCAGTGGTGTTGTCAGAGGCTACTGCAACAAAATTGTCCTGAGTTACATTGAAAAACAGAGAATGAAGTGGTTTGGCTATCTAGCTATACTGCATATAGACCAAACTGTATGTGACTGTGATTGATTATTTGAGCTGGCGATCCTTAATCCAATATGTTTATGGGCATGGATCATAATTATGTTTTTAAAGCTGCATTGTGTTCTCTTCAGCTTCTCCTTTCTCCGTGTAACAAAAGTTTATTATTGACACATTTGCACACATACATTCTTAAGTTTATAAATTTCCGCAGCATGTGAAGAAACTTCAAGAACAACACGACTTGGAGAACAAGTTAGCAGCAGCAAAACTTGCACAAGCAGATGCCATAATCAGAGATTTGGAAGAACGAGGCAGCAAAGAGAAAGAACTGGTAAATTATAGTTTTTTTTTTTTTTTTTGAGGTTGGGAATGGCTTAAGATGATGTATAATATGTTAAACTGATGTGACATATTTTTTTTGCTGACATGGCCAATTGTTTATGTTTGACTGTATATTATGCTAAAATACTGTGTAAGTTTGCATCACAGTTGTATTTACTTCTTAGTTTTGCTGCCATACTGTTAGTTTGACTGACAGTTTCCCCCTGACTGTTTATATTTGACTTTCACTATTGACTAAGAGTCTGCTGTTTATATTTGACTGACAGTTCCACTAACTGTTAATGTTTGACTGATAGTTCCACTAACTGTTAATGTTTGACTGATAGTTCCACTAACTGTTAATGTTTGACTGATAGTTCCACTAACTGTTAATGTTTGACTGATTGTTCCACTAACTGTTAATGTTTGACTGATAGTTCCACTAACTGTTTATATTTGACTGACAGTTCCACTAACTGTTAATGTTTGACTGATAGTTCCACTAACTGTTAATGTTTGATTGATAGTTCCACTAACTGTTTATGTTTGACTTCCTTTTTCATTACTGGCTGAAAGTTCCAATAACTTTTTATGTTTGACTGAAAGCTCCACTAACTGTTTATGTTTGACTTCCTTTGTTAATATTAACTGATAATTCTACTAACTATTTATGTTTTACTAAATTTTTTTTTTTAAATTACTGACAGGTGTTTCAATATTGATGTTTGTTTGGCTGATAGTTCCACTAACTGTGTTTGACTTACTTTTTTCTTTACTGACTGGTGTTCCAATATTCACATATGTTTGACTGATTGATACACTTACTCTTCTGTAGATGCTACTGAAGCTTACTGAAGTCACCAAAAAATCACAGCTGACTGAATCTCAGGTTAGTAATCATCTGACCTTTGTGTTATTGAATTGAACTCTCTCTCTCTCTCTCTTTCTCTCTCTTTCTCCCTCCCTCTCTCTCTCTATGCTAAGTGACACACCATGTGTAATTGGTATAGTTGATTCATTCCGGTATAGACTTTATTTACATTTTTAAATTCTGTTTTTTTCAGTCAGGGACTTCAAAGAAAAGGAACATGTATTTTTTTTTTCAATATCAGTTTTATTTTTTGAAGTTTTAATTTTTGGAGCTTGGTGCCGCTCGTGTTTACTGTCAAGTTGAATGAGATCAGGAGATAAGTGTATTTTTATTTTTTCTCTCTGTTACTCCTTTGTTACTCTCTCTCCTTTCCTTCCTTTCTCCGTCTGCCTGACTCTCCTGCTGTCACTGTTTCTTTTGTTATCTGCCTATTTTGCTGTATGCTCCCCCTCCCCCCCCCCCCCCCTCTCTCTCTCTCTCTCTCTCTCTCTCTCTCTCTCTCTCTCTCTCTCTCTCTCTCTCTCTCTGTGTCTCTCTATCTCTATTTGTGTCTCTAAAAGTCAGTCTCATTCTCTCCCTATATATCTCTCTATTCATGGCTTTGTCACTCACCTTTCCCCATGTCTTTTCTTCCCTTCTCTTTCCCTTTTCTAGTAACTAGTTGTGCAAGCTTGTATTCATAATGAGTACTTGTCTTCTGTACTAGCTTGTATTCCCATTATGTACTTGTCTTCCTTACTAGCTTGTATTCCCAGTATGTACTTATCTTCCGTACCAGCTTTTATTCCCAGTGTGTACTTGTCTTCTGTACCAGCTTGTATTCCCATTGTGTACTTGTGTTTTGTACCAGCTTGTATTCCCATTTTTTTCTGTAACTGAAGTTGTACCAGCTTGTATTCCTAGTGTGTACTTGAGTTTTGTACCAGCTTGTATTATCACTGAGTACTTGTCTTCTGTACTAGCTTTTATTCCCAGTGTGTACTTGTCTTCTCTACCAGCTTGTATTCCCTGTGTGTACTTGTATTCTCTAGCAGCTTGTATTCCCAGTGTGTACTTGTCTTTTCTACCAGCTTGTTTTCCCAGTATGTACTTGTATTCTGTACCAGCTTGAATTCCCAGTGTGTACTTGTCTTCTCTACCAGCTTGTATTCCCTGTGTGTACTTGTCTTCTCTACCAGCTTGTATTCTCTGTGTGTACTTGTCTTCTCTACCAGCTTGTATTTACTGTGTGTACTTGTCTTCTCTACCAGCTTGTATTCTCTGTGTGTACTTTTCTTCTCTACCAGCTTGTATTCCCTGTGTGTACTTGTCTTCTCTACCAGCTTGTATTTCCTGTATGTACTTGTCTTCTCTACCAGCTTGTATTTACTGTGTGTACTTGTCTTCTCTACCAGCTTGTATTCCCAGTATGTACTTGTCTTCTCTACCAGCTTGTATTCCCTGTGTGTACTTTTCTTCTCTACCAGCTTGTATTCCCTGTGTGTACTTGTCTTCTCTACCAGCTTGTATTTACTGTGTGTACTTGTCTTCTCTACCAGCTTGTATTCCCTATGTATACTTGTCTTCTCTACCAGCTTGTATTCCCAGTATGTACTTGTCTTCTCTACCAGCTTGTATTCCCTGTGTGTACTTTTCTTCTCTACCAGCTTGTATTCTCTGTGTGTACTTGTCTTCTCTACCAGCTTGTATTCCCTGTGTGTACTTTTCTTCTCTACCAGCTTGTATTCCCTGTGTGTACTTTTCTTCTCTACCAGCTTGTATTCCCAGTGTGTACTTTTCTTCTCTACCAGCTTGTATTCCCTGTGTGTACTTTTCTTCTCTACCAGCTTGTATTCCCAGTATGTACTTGTCTTCTCTACCAGCTTGTATTCCCAGTATGTACTTGTCTTCTCTACCAGCTTGTATTCTCTGTGTGTACTTGTCTTCTCTACCAGCTTGTATTCCCTGTGTGTACTTGTCTTCTCTACCAGCTTGTATTCCCTGTGTGTACTTGTCTTCTCTACCAGCTTGTATTCCCAGTATGTACTTGTCTTCTCTACCAGCTTGTATTCCCAGTGTGTACTTGTCTTCTCTACCAGCTTGAATTCCCAGTGTGTACTTGTCTTCTCTACCAGCTTGTATTCCCAGTATGTACTTGTCCTCCTTACAAGCTTATATTCCCTGAATTAATCAAGTAAAAGTGTACTGATCGGCACTCATAGAAAGGAGTAGATAGATAGAAGAACACACTAAACAATATAAAAATCAAAAGCTATTGTTACCATGCCAGGAATTGAACCTGTCACCTCTAGACGGTGACTGCGCCTCGCTATGAATGCAAGTGCACTAAGAACATGGTCAGCCAGGCACCCCCAAAAAAAGTGTCTTATTGGCCATGTCTATCGTACAACTTGAAATCGACAACTATGAAATATGGACAAAATTCATTTCAAAACATTTAACTGGCACCATAGGTTATAGAAATTTATATTAAGGAAGCATATGTCGAATAACAATCACAGCAACTATTAACGAACACAGTAGACTTTTAATTCTTTGTCTAGAATACACAAACATTTAAGAAAGGTATTTTTTTAGTTGGTGTGTATGTGTCATTCCTATAAATAAACAGGGGGAACCTTTGAGTGCCAATTAATACACTTTCTGTTACTTGTATTCCCTGTGTGTACTTGTCTTCTGTACCAGCTTAAATTCCCAGTGTGTTCTTGTCTTCTCTACCAGCTTGTATACTCAGTGTGTTCTTGTCTTCTCTACCAGCTTGTATACTCAGTGTGTACTTGTCTTCTGTACCAGCTTGTATACTCAGTGTGTACTTGTCTTCTGTACCAGCTTGTATACTCAGTGTGTACTTGTCTTCTGTACCAGCTTGTATACTCAGTTTATACTTGTCTTCTGTACCAGCTTGTATACTCAGTTTATACTTGTCTTCTGTACCAGCTTGTATACTCAGTTTATACTTGTCTTCTGTACCAGCTTGTATACTCAGTTTATACTTGTCTTCTGTACCAGCTTATATACTCAGTTTATACTTGTCTTCTGTACCAGCTTGTATACTCAGTTTATACTTGTCTTCTCTACCAGCTTGTATACTCATTGTGTACTTGTCTTCTGTACCAGCTTGTATACTCAGTTTATACTTGTCTTCTCTACCAGCTTGTATACTCATTGTGTACTTGTCTTCTGTACCAGCTTGTATACTCAGTTTATACTTGTCTTCTGTACCAGCTTGTATACTCAGTGTGTACTGTACAGCTTGTATACTCATTGTGTACTTGTCTTCTGTACCAGCTGTATACTCAGTTTATACTTGTCTTCTGTACCAGCTTGTATACTCAGTTTATACTTGTCTTCTGTACCAGCTTGTATACTCAGTTTATACTTGTCTTCTGTACCAGCTTGTATACTCAGTTTATACTTGTCTTCTGTACCAGCTTGTATACTCAGTTTATACTTGTCTTCTCTTCTTGTATACTCAGCTTGTACCAGCTATACTCAGTTTATACTTGTCTTCTCTACCAGCTTGTGTACCAGCTTGTCTTCTACTCAGTTTGTATACTCAGTTTATCTTTCTGTACCAGCTTGTATACTCAGTTTATACTTGTCTTCTGTACCAGCTTGTATACTCAGTTTATACTTGTCTTCTGTACCAGCTTGTATACTCAGTGTTATACTTGTCTTCTGTACCAGCTTGTATACTGTAAGTGTATACTTGTTTATAGTCTTCTGTACCAGCTTGTATACTCAGTGTGTACTTGTCTTCTGTACCAGCTTGTATACTCAGTTTATAGTCTTCTGTACCAGCTTGTATACTCAGTGTGTACTTGTCTTCTGTACCAGCTTGTATACTCAGTTTATACTTGTCTTCTGTACCAGCTTGTATACTCAGTTTATACTTGTCTTCTGAACCAGCTTGTATACTCAGTTTATACTTGTCTTCTGAACCAGCTTGTATACTCAGTTTATACTTGTCTTCTCTACCAGCTTGTATACTCAGTGTGTACTTGTCTTCTCTACCAGCTTGTATACTCAGTGTGTACTTGTCTTCTCTACCAGCTTGTATACTCAGTGTGTACTTGTCTTCTGTACCAGCTTAAATTCCCAGTGTCTACTTGTCTTCTCTACCAGCTTGTAAACTCAGTGTGTACTTGTCTTCTGTACTAGCTTGTATTCTCAATGTCTTCTTTTGACCCTAAGTAAAGTGGTACCAGCTTGTATTATCAATGTCTTTCTTTGACCCTAACTAAAGTGGTACCAGCTTGTATGCTTAATGTCTTCTCTATCTAAAGTAGTAGATGCTTGTATTCTCAATGTCTTCCTTTGACCTTAACTAAATTGGTACCAGCTTGTATTCTCAATGTCTTCTCTAACTAAAGTTGTACATAATGTCTTCTCTAACTAAAGTAGTACATGCTTGTATTATCAATGTCTTCTCTAACTAAAGTGGTACATGCTTGTATTCTGAATGTCTTGTCTAACTAAAGTGGTACATGCTTGTATTCTCAATGTCTTCTCTAACTAAAGTGGTAGATGCTTGTATTCTCAATGTCTTCTCTAACTAAAGTGGTACACACTTGTATTCTCAATGTCTTCTCTAACTAAAGTGGTAGATGCTTGTATTTTCAATGTCTTCTCTAACTAAAGTGGTACACACTTGTATTCTCAATGTCTTCTCTAACTAAAGTGGTAGATGCTTGAATTCTCAATGTCTTCTCTAACTAAAGTGGTACACACTTGTATTCTCAATGTCTTCTCTAACTAAAGTGGTACATGCTTGTATTCTCAATGTCTTCTCTAACTAAAGTGGTAGATGCTTGTATTCTCAATGTCTTCTCTAACTAAAGTGGTACATGCTTGTATTCTCAATGTCTTCTCTAACTAAAGTGGTACATGCTTGTATTCTCAATGTCTTCTCTAACTAAAGTGGTACACACTTGTATTCTCAATGTCTTCTCTAACTAAAGTGGTAGATGCTTGTATTCTCAATGTCTTCTCTAACTAAAGTGGTACACACTTGTATTCTCAATGTCTTCTCTAACTAAAGTGGTAGATGCTTGTATTCTCAATGTCTTCTCTAACTAAAGTGGTAGATGCTTGTATTCTCAATGTCTTCTCTAACTAAAGTGGTAGATGCTTGTATTCTCAATGTCTTCTCTAACTAAAGTGGTACACACTTGTATTCTCAATGTCTTCTCTAACTAAAGTGGTACATGCTTGTATTCTCAATGTCTTCTCTAACTAAAGTGGTAGATGCTTGTATTCTCAATGTCTTCTCTAACTAAAGTGGTACATGCTTGTATTCTCAATGTCTTCTCTAACTAAAGTGGTAGATGCTTGTATTCTCAATGTCTTCTCTAACTAAAGTGGTAGATGCTTGTATTCTCAATGTCTCTAACTAAAGTGGTAGATGCTTGTATTCTCAATGTCTTCTCTAACTAAAGTAGTACATGCTTGTATTCTCAATGTCTTCTCTAACTAAAGTGTTGCATGCTTGTATTCTCAATGTCTTCTCTAACTAAAGTGTTGCATGCTTGTATTCTCAATGTCTTCTCTAACTAAAGTAGTACATGCTTGTATTCTCAATGTCTTCTCTAACTAAAGTAGTACATGCTTGTATTCTCAATGTATCGTCTGCAGCTGGAGCTGTACAAGTCCAAGTACGATGAGTTCAGCTCACTCCACACAAGGAGCAGTGAGACCTTCCAGAGATACAAGACTGATATGGATAAGGTCTGTTTTTTTTTTTTTTAAATCTCACTACTTCTGTTGCGAGAAGCTATGCTGGCATGGTTTGCTAGATACTTGACTGCTGTCCTCAAGGTCTTGGTTTCAAAGCCATATCAAGGCAGAATTTTTTGTGGTGTTGAAATTGACCTTGGCTCCTAGGTCGAACCAGCCTAAAATGGGTGCCATCTAGTGTCATGGGAAGTAAAGGCAACCAGCATGTTTTTGACTACATCAGCCACCGAGTCCATATTGGCCTAAAATAAATATGAATATAGCATCATTTGCCTGCCTCTTAGGGGAGGGAACCCTTTTTTTTGGGCAATGTGTTGGAGTAGTTTGTTGACATATAGGTGCTTAAAGCCCATGGTGGTGAAGACATGGTGTGGTCCCGGCCAGTCTGTATGTACTGTGCTGCATAATCACTGGTTGTAACTGAATATTTCTCAATATGAATGTGTCAGGTTAGACATTAGCTAGGTTAGAACATTTAACCATCCTGGGAACATTAGCCAGGCTGAGAACATTAGGTAGGTTGTGAATATTAGAGCATTAGCTAGGCTGTGAACATTAGCCAGGTTGAGAACATTAGCCAGGTTGAGAACATTAGCCAGGTTGTGAACATTAGCCAGGTTGAGAACATTAGCCATGTTGTGAACATTAGCCATGTTGTGAACATTAGCCAGGTTGAGAACATTAGCCAGGTTGAGAACATTAGCCATGTTGTGAACATTAGCCAGGTTGAGAACATTAGCCAGATTAGAGCATTAGGCAGGTTGTGAACATAAGAGCATTAGCCATGTTGTGAACATTAGCCATATTAGAGCATTGATCTGGCTGGGACCATTAGCCAAGTTAGATTATTGGATAACAGATGCCATTTATTCTGTGTTGTTTGCTCCAACAGATGTCATTTACTGTGTGTTGTTTGCTCCCACAGATGCCATTTACTGTGTGTTGTTTGCTCTAACAGATGCCATTTACTCTGTGTTGTTTGCTCCAACAGATGCCATTTACTGTGAGTTGTTTGCTCCAACAGATGCCATTTACTCTGTGTTGTTTGCTCCAACAGATGCCATTTACTGTGTGTTGTTTGCTCCAACAGATGCCATTTACTCTGTGTTGTTTGCTCTAACAGATGCCATTTACTCTGTGTTGTTTGCTCCAACAGATGCCATTTACTCTGTGTTGTTTGCTCCAACAGATGCCATTTACTGTGTGTTGTTTGCTCCAACAGATGCCATTTACTGTGTGTTGTTTGCTCTAACAGATGCCATTTACTCTGTGTTGTTTGCTGTAACAGATGCCATTTACTGTGTGTTGTTTGCTCTGACAGATGCCATTTACTGTGTGTTGTTTGCTCCAACAGATGCCATTTACTGTGTGTTGTTTGCTCCAACAGATGCCATTTACTGTGTGTTGTTTGCTCCAACAGATGCCATTTACTGTGTGTTGTTTGCTCTAACAGATGCCATTTACTGTGTGTTGTTTGCTCCAACAGATGCCATTTACTCTGTGTTGTTTGCTCCAACAGATGCCATTTACTGTGTGTTGTTTGCTCCAACAGATGCCATTTACTCTGTGTTGTTTGCTCCAACAGATGCCATTTACTCTGTGTTGTTTGCTCCAACAGATGCCATTTACTGTGTGTTGTTTGCTCTAACAGATGCCATTTACTCTGTGTTGTTTGCTCTAACAGATGCCATTTACTGTGTGTTGTTTGCTCCAACAGATGCCATTTACTGTGTGTTGTTTGCTCCAACAGATGCCATTTACTGTGTGTTGTTTGCTCCAACAGATGCCATTTACTGTGTGTTGTTTGCTCCAACAGATGCCATTTACTCTGTGTTGTTTGCTCCAACAGATGCCATTTACTGTGTGTTGTTTGCTCTAACAGATGCCATTTACTCTGTGTTGTTTGCTCCAACAGATGCCATTTACTGTGTGTTGTTTGCTCCAACAGATGCCATTTACTCTGTGTTGTTTGCTCTAACAGATGCCATTTACTCTGTGTTGTTTGCTCCAACAGATGCCATTTACTCTGTGTTGTTTGCTCCAACAGATGCCATTTACTGTGTGTTGTTTGCTCCAACAGATGCCATTTACTGTGTGTTGTTTGCTCCAACAGATGCCATTTACTGTGTGTTGTTTGCTCTAACAGATGACCAAGAGAATTAAAAGACTGGAGAAGGAGGGGCTGCAGTGGAAATCTAAGTGGGAGTCTACCAGCAAGACTTTGCTAGAGATGTATGAGGCGGTAAGCTATTTCAACTTTTTTGTTTCCCTCTTCCTTTTGGGTTCAGTTTCATATGCTTTGGTCAGACCATCAGGTGTGCTACCTCTTTGACATTGTATGTCAGTTGCAGGTCCTCCAAGGCTGAACCCAGCTCGTCGCCCCCCCCCCCAACTTTCCTGTGATTCCCAAATTTGTTTCAGTTGTCATTCCCAAGCTTGCCTCAGTTGTCACACTTGCCTTTGCCATGATCTGTGATTTCCGAGTTTGTCTTAGTTCTCACCCTTGATTTTGCCATAGGTTGTGATTCTCAAGTTTATCTCAGTTGTCACTCTCGACTTTGCCCTAGGGCGATTCTCAAGTCAGTTGGAAAATGACAGTAGAGGTACACATAAACTATAAATTTTAAAAAAATGTTTAGGATAGTCCTTCAAATATTTCAGCCAAACAAAATCACAAGTGAAGAAATGAGGAAGAAAACCAAATATTTTTCACCGGCAAACATCAAAGGAAGAAGAAAGTCTTAAGCAGGTTTGTGAAATGCTCAAATGACGCAAGGACAATTCACAGATGAAAAATATGTGGACATCTTAGGGGGACAAATAGAGTGTAAACTGACAAAGGGATACCATGGGCTTAAAAGCAGCAGACTGGTAACAATTGAGATCACTTGTGATGCCTTAGTATCTCAACTCTAACTTCGACTTTTAACACGTCTTTACATAATAAACCTTGCCCATCCACGCTCGGTTCTAACATGCCACAGCCATCCCAAGGTTCCTTGACTGACTGTTGCCATGATAAATTAGTTTTAAAGCCTCCTCTGTATCTTGAAGATGACATAGGTGCTTTGCCAGGTCATGTAATATGGTTAGCATCAGAGACACATTTTGTCCAGCAGCCTAGTCCATACAGCATTTATAATAATGGCATGTCAGTATTTCTGTCTGCTTGGGGGGGGGGGGGGAAGTATTTATTACTAATACTTAGTGTGCTCACTTATTCCTTTCTTCTCTGGTTTGTAGATCCAGGGTCGGAAGGTAAAGTGCAACTTTCAAACGCAATAATCTTTATAGTTATTATGTTTTTTTCTGTGTTTAAAACAGAAAACCAAGTCAGATCAGGAAGCAGCAGTTTCATTGCAGAAGGTGAAAAAACTGGAATCTCTGTGTCGAGCTCTACAAGCAGAACTTCACAAAAAGAAAGTGGATATTGATAGTGTAAACGGAGAAGGAGATGGTGAGTAATGTTGAAGAGCATAATTTTGTCTACTTTAAAGATAAACATTTTCTACATGAGTCCCAGGGTCCTATTATGAGATAAAATAGAAAACACTCTTGCGTGTCTTAAAAGGCAAGCAATTAAAGATTTGAAACTAAAAAGTTGTTGCAGTAGTGATGTGAATTAGAATGAATATGAGGTACATTCTTTGACCACGATATATGAGGCAAATGTTTTCTATAAGGTACATCAGTTTTCACAATATGTGAGGTACATTCTTTGACCAACATTTATGAGGTACATCAGTTTCCACAATTTGTGAGGTACATTCTTTGACCATGATACACGCAGTCGCAACACTCAGGTTTTGGAACAGTCCAAAATTGGATGAACAACCAGAACTTTCCGCTAGAGTTTGCAGCTGGTGAACGCGAAGAAGAAGAAGAGATATGTGAAGTACATTCTTCACTGTGTAATATGAGGTGGGTCCAGTTAGCTTTCTCATCGCCATTCTTTTCTAATCAGTTCTCAGAAGATTGTGGAAGTTTGATGTGGTACTCATGTTTATGCTGCTGAATTGATCAACCCTAGAGTTGTGTTGGTCTGAGGAGGGGAGAACCATGCTATTACCTAGCATTAAATCCTGATCACTGTCCCAGCTAGCGAATGCACTGACCACTGTGTCTTTCTATCAACCATGACATGTGCTTGATTTGAAAAAACAAAACGGACTGCTCTGAGAAAAACTGAGCGATATGGGATAAAACACTGTGCATTGGGCTAGATTCAATCACCTTAACCCTTTTCCCCCGAGAAGCAGGCAGCAAAACTGTCTCTTCTGGATGCGTCCACTTCCCCAAAAAGGTCAATTTTTTTTCATTTTCAGTAGTGGCGAGAAGCATAGTTAATGCTGTTGGCTTTTCTCGCACCTGCACAAAAATGTAGGGAGTCACAATATGAATTCATTGACTAAAAATAGCATTTAGTGGGTTTTCTTTGAACCAAATAGCATTATTAAAGTCAGGTTGACCTACATTTTTCCTGTAAGCCCTAGTGATGGAGGTCACAGGGTGGGGACAAGAGTCACTGGATACATATCTATTTTTATGCCCCTGGGAATGTATTTCATTGAATGCTTCACTCCGTTCGTGTTTATTGATAATAAATGTTTATCAAATGTATTAGTGACATGTGTAAAATTGTTGCATTAATATTGCATTGTTACAGTTATACTGATTAATTTTCTACATAGAACTCATAGAACTGTTTACACAAGGTGGTTTTTTCTGGCTATAACCCAGAAGAGTTGAACATAATATTTAATACAAAAATAAATACTACTTCTGCTAGTTGTTTAATGTAAACTTTTTTGTCTTTTACAACACAGTCAGATATAACTATGTTGTCTTTTACAGAGCAGTCAAATATCCATACAGCTGTGGCTTCTGCAGCTCCCCCTAACTCTCCAGAAGTGCCTTCACCTAATGAAGGTGCCACAGCTTCCATAGAATCACCTTCAGATCCATGTGCTGTGAATACACCTGCAGCATCACCACTTTCGTCCACCTGTACGACCCCGGACCCATCTCTTGTGCCTGATGTTGCAGCTGTCACTGAGGCAGTCGTCACCAATGCAGCCGTCACCAATGCAGCTATTGCTGACACAGTTGTCACCAATGCAGTCGTCACCAATACAGTCGTCACTGATGCAGTCTTCACCGATGCAGCCATCACCGATAAAGCAGCCACAGATCCCTCAAGTCAGAACTGTCTGGAAGCAGATAAACACACCATTCCTGGTGACACAGATCTTAATGGGAGAACCGAGGATGAAGCTAAGGAGGAGCTGACAGCACCTATGTTTTTGCCAACAGCATCGGTTCCGTGCTGTTCAGAAGATGGGGTTGAGAAGCAAGTCCCTGTGGTGGCTGACTCGTGACCAGGCAGGGGTTAAAGGGTAATGTTTGACACCTAGGTTTATAGATGAATTTGACACCTTTTTTTTTTTTTTAGTGATAACATGACAGAGATTTTTAAAGCTAACTTACTGTGGACAGTATGATTTAGATGTAACAACTATCTTGAAATATGGAATGGATGAGAAATCCATTAGGTTTTTTAAAATGTATGTCATTACACTGTAATCTCTGTGTTTAAACAATACTGACTGGTGGCACTTTTGGACCAGTAACTTACTAGCAACAGCGTAATTTAATTGTAGGCACTGACTTGAATTATTGAAATGTGTGCAAACAAGAAGAAACGTCATGTGGATAAGAAAGAACACATTACATTTAATTGTTTTTGTTAGTCTTTCCCATTTAGTGGTCTCTGGATCCCCCGGGGCTCCACCTATCTAACAAAATTTATTTACCCTTGAATCCTAACCATAGAGTATTGTCTTTTCTTGCTTAGCTACACTTGGTTAGAACATGTTATAACAAAAAAATGTGGCCGTAGCAGTGCCACTTCAACCATATGTTTAACCTTGTTAAATGTAATGCATTCATGTGTTTTTATATTGACTGTTTCTCCTTTTTTGGGCATTTACTGCCAGAACCTTTTGGGAATTGAATGAGTCAATAAAATGAGGTGGAGTTGTGAAACAGTTTGAAATACTCACTGAACAACACCATAGACAATTTGGTAGATCAAAAATATGTTTGTGAAGTTTATGAAACTGAACATTTAATTGTGCTGATCGGTTTGAAGAGATATTTTAGAAAGCGTGTACTTTTGTACAATGATAAATGTTGGAAAATGAAAAATGTTGGAAGATGACAAATGTTGGAAAATGTCAACAGAAATTACACATAAACTATAGACTTTTCATTAAAAATGCCACAGAATAATCCTACACATTTTTTTATTTCCAAAAAAGATTACAAGAAAGAAAACAAAATGTTTGTTATATAATTAAGGAACAGGATAGAAGTGGCTTGAACATATTTACAGAATGCTTCAAGACACTTTGGCCGATAGATAAGTAGACATGGACGACCTAAATAAACCTGGAGGAGGAGAATAGAAAGGGGAATGAAGAAATGTGAAATAACCTGGGATTCCACAGGCAGAAAAACAGCAGCCGTAGCAGTGGAGATCACTTTTGCATTCCTGATGTGTCAGCAGTGACATGAAGATGATATAGAGGGATTAGAAAGGTGTTTGCTAATAAGGCAGGAAGGTCAGACCAAGAATTTTTCAGGATGTTTGAAGAGTTAACTACACACCTGCTATCATTAAATGAAAGAACTGTTTTATGTAACAATTCTCCCCCCCCCCCCCCCCCCCCCCCCCCCCCCCCCCCCCCCCCCCCATCATTAGGCTTGAATGTTTGACAAGCAAGTGACTCAAGGTGCCACTTTTTGGATGCCAATCTGACATGAATAAATCCTTGATATGCAGTTCAACCGAATAAAATAGTTATAATATGGTATCCTTCAGAAGTCACCCATTGTCATGAGTGGGTCAGTTGATGTAGTAAGGAAGGTTAAAAAAAAAGGTGAAGCAGGTTTTGTTTTTCATAATCATTTGTGGCACAAATACTGCAATTGTTGGCTGTTTGTGGTTTTACTAGGCAATTTTAGGTTAGTTTAGTATTTTACATTAGTTTGCCATTGCTTCTGAATGATGGGCTATCTGTATCATTGTTTAAAAATCAGCACAAAGCTGTCTGCTGCCAAAATAAAACCAACTATTTCAGAACTACAAAGCATGTTTGTCCCTAAGCCACAGGTGCTGACTCTCATAAACAACATAAAGGTTAGTTGCATATCGTTTACAGAACCAGCCCCTGGCTGTTGTGTGGTTTTTCTAGGCAAATTTACGTCCAGTAGTTTGTCATTGCTTTCTGGATGGTCAGCTTTCTTGACACCACTGTCGAAACCAATGCAAGGCCCGCAGCTGGGATCGAACCCAGCATCCCGGCACTACAAAGCGTTCACATCGACTTAGCCACAGAGCCGACATACAACATGTACAAATAAATAAAATATACTGTTACATTTCCAACAGCCTGCAGAATGTAGCCAAATGTCTTGATCTGCACGAATGTTAGGAGAGTTTTACAGTTCTTCTTGTTCATGTGCACCGGCTGTAAACTCCGACAGAAAGTTATGTTTTTTTTTTCCACTTCTAGACTTGTAGTCTTGTTTCACAACTTGAATCCTGCATGCACTTCCATTCTCTAGATCTGGTTTATTTGTAGGTAGACTGTTAGACTTGGTCCTTTCTTCTCAGGCAGAAGAACCCAATTTCCAAGAGAAAATTTACATTTTTAATATAGCAGATCTGTTCTTCTCCGTAGAATAGAGCCCTGGAATCCACATGGGGAAATTCAACAGGTCTAACATACAACAGCAGTATGTTTTTGTTGTTGGTGTGTATGGGTAGTTTTACATTTTCCTTTGCTGTGTTTTCTTGAAGATATTACATTTTTGTTCAGTCTATGACTAGTACATTTGATTTTAACGAACATTATTTTTGAGTTAGCTTTATCTAGCCTATTACTGTGCCCAGTCTACCTACAAGGTAACAGTGGTCTCATTTCTTTCTCTGGTCCGTGCCCCTCGACCCGTCTGACCCTACCAGTAATCACTCTTGGAGCCTTCAGGACACGCATGTGCCTGTGTCTGTGTCAGACCAAGGTGTGGAGACATTTTTTTGCTGCCCAGTTTCCTCCTCGTGGAGTCTGTGGCTTAGGCGTGCTGCCATGCTTCGTAATGCCAGCAGCTATGGACGGTTTGTCATGCGTTGGTTTCGACATTGGTACTGAGAGCTGTCCTTTCAGAAAGCAGTGGCAAACTACTGAACGTAACATTTGCCTAGAAAAACCACAACAGCCAAAGAAATGCTGGGCTTGGTTCTGCAATGTTCTGTAAAGGATACGTTGCAAACTTTTTTGTGAGTTTTGTTAAGTTTTCCCCCTCACTGTTAAATGTAGTGCCATATACATTGAGGGTATTCTATTTCCCTCCATCTCTGTCATACACCAGGTGGTTATCTCTTCAAAATCCTGCCAGTTATGTATTTCTGGTTGTTTCATCTTACATTAGGAATCCTTGTGATCTTTTCTCTCTCTCTAGATGCAAGAAAACTGTGAGTATAACATCATTGAAAGGCTCCTAAACTAACATAGTAATAAGTAACTATTTATTAACATTTGATGTTAATTTTTAAAATGTGCTCCCGTCTGGAGCAAAGCAACATTTTGTTTCACATCCTTGTAGGTGATATTTTTCAGTTTAGCAGGAGAGGCCAGACAGAATAAGGGCTGCCACAGTATTTCAATCCAGAGTTTAAAAAAAAAAATTTAGTTTGTTGAGTATCTTTTGTGCTGTTTGCTCCCATGTATATGCCAGTTCAATATTAACATTTTTTTTAAAGCAGAGCAAAGATGCTGCTGTATGTTGGTGTGTGTTTGCTGCGTGGACTGCTATGATTTGTTGTTTAACCATTTTTAAGTGCCTCATTAACATCTTGTATTCTTGTTACATCAGTATTTTATAGTCTTAGAGTGTATCATTAGTTCCCTGTAGAGGAATATTCTAGAAGCTTTTGTGGACATGTAGAGCAGATAATGCTGTGCTTGAAAACAGTCTGTAGTTTATGGGAATTGTTGAGGGCAGACAAAACACTGGGTCTCCTAAAAACCTTGTTTTCTCCAGCATTGTTTGCTCCATTGACAGAGTTCCCCTCGAATCTCAGTTTTTATATATGTTCTTTAACTTTTTTGCAGCTGGATAGAGAAAATAACAAATGTTCACTGTTAGTATCTTTCTGCCATGATTCTGTAAAGATTTTCATTGTTAGTATCCATCTGTCGTATCTTTTAGAGACATCTTTCTATAACAAGCTTCTGTGTAGATGTGTTTTATCATGCTTCTTGTTTTTATCTTTTTTTGTCATGCTATGTTTATCCCTATTTTGTTGTTGCATGCAGGCTTGGTTGTTTCTCGTCTCTGTTTTGCATCCTCTATGTAATCATCCCCTAGGGTTGCTAGTTGTATTTATCTGGGCCATAGATTCTACTTTTTATACCCACAATAAAATTGCTGAGACTTGCTGACAGACAAGGTGGGTGTTTTGGCTTTGTTTGTTTCTGGGGCGGGTCATCAGCTTCACACCTGTTTAATGTTTATTTAAGAATCAACATCACAGCACAAGCTCTGTGTCCCCATCTTCAGCAGCAAGTGCAGAGTTCCAATTCCAGTGATACCAATAGCAGTCTGACCTCTACACCTTTGAGCGCCCAAGGGAAAATCTCTTGAGTTTTCTCTTCCCTCTCATTCTTTATCTTCTTGAGAAATGGAAGGAAACAGAAGAGTTGTGGAAAAAGTGCCTTTATTCTTTATTCTGCTTCCTTTTTCCCCCCCTCTCTTAATCCTTGTTGTTCATCCTCACCCCTCTTTCTTTCACTCTTGTGTCTTTATTCTTATTCTTCCTACCCATTCTTTCTTTCCCTCTCATGTCTTTATTCTTATTCTTCCTACTCATTCTTTCTTTCCCTCTCATGTCTTTATTCTTATTCTGCCTACTCATTCTTTCTTTCCCTCTCATGTCTTCTTTTTCCCTTTCATCTCTTGATCTTCATGCCTTATTGTACTCCTTTTTTTCCCCTCTGGTCTCTATATTATTGTTCTTCCTTCTCACTATTCTTATTTCTCACCGCTTCATCTGTCTTCTTCCTGCTCCTCTCTTGTCTCATTGCAGCTGGTAGTATCTCCAGGGACAGCACCAGACACCCAATACATTAGTGAGTAGGTAGTCAGTCTGTAGGTACAACATCCCAACCAATATCACTACATCACATAATGGGTATTCAATCATTCAGCTACTGTATGTGTCTAGTATTACTTCCAGTCCTTTTTTAGGACAAAATTTTTCGTTATTTGATGCCCTACTCTGGCTTTTGCCAGGGGCCACAATATAGCCTGGTCA